TCTTCCAGCCAAACAAAAGGTGTGTATGGCGAACATTTATACCAGGTAGGTATATTCCTTTGAACTGTCAACCATGGCAGATCAGATGGGCAGCATTTGCACAGGTATATAACTCAGGGAGCAGGAATGCATAGGAAAGGATGACACCAGAAAAACATAACCACAGGGAGGAAGTGGGAAGATAGTTGTTACACTGCTAGCATTGCAATTAGTGTCACGAGACAAAATATGAACTGTTGAACAGAAAATGAATTTGCTCTGTAAACTTTCACCCAAATTACAATAATAAAAAAAATAATAATAGTGATGATAGAAAAATTTGGAAGTGAATAGTGGTGATGGTTGAACAAGATAAATGTGGTTAATGTCACTCAATTGTACATGTAATAAGAATAAAAGATTCTTAAAAACAAAATAAAGCCCATGACCACTTCACCAAACTACACTGCCCTGGGTCCTTATAGAGAACTGGGTTTAGAATTGAGAAGGAGTACTGATCTTTCTCTCTAATGGGCAGTGGGTTCATTTAGGGGTACCTATATGTTGGCTTGGCTCTTTCACACTAAAAAAGGCATGACCAGACCAAATTAGGCCAACATGATGACTATTCTGTGATAGTCTTCTTCCTTTCCTGTCTTTTTAATGACCTTTTGCTTTCTTCACGGAAGACTTTTTTGATGTCATCCCACAATTCCTCTGGTTTTCAGTGATTGGTGTTCAGTGCATCAAATCTATTCTTCAGATGGTCTCTCAATTCAGGTGGGATATAGTCAAGGTCATATTTTGGCTCTTGTGGACTTGTTTTAACTGTCTTCATTTTTAACTTGAACTTGCATATGAGCAATTGATGGTCTTTTCCACAGTAAGCGCCTGGCCTTGTTTGGCTGAAGATATTGAGTTTCTCCATCTCCTCTTTCCACAGATGTGTTGTTGTTGTTGTTGTTATGTGCCGTCGAGTCAGCCCCGACTCATAGCGACCCCTCCTTGGGTTTCCGAGGCAGTATCACTACGGAAGTAGGATTGCCCAACCTTCCTTCCGAGGAGTGGCTGGTGGGTTTGAACCGCCAGCCTTCTGGTGAGCAGTCAAGTGCTTTAGCCACTATGCTACCAGAGCTCCTTTCCACAGATGTAGTTGAACTGATTCCTGTGTATTCCATCTGGCAAGGTCTACATGTATAGCTGCCATTTATGTTGTTAATAAAAGGTATTTGCATTGAGTAAGTCGTTGGTCTTGCAAAATTCTATCGTGCAATCTCTGGAGTTATTTCTATCATCAAGGCCATATTTTCCAACTGCCAGTGATTCTTCTTTGTTTCCATGTCCCAGGCCAAAGGAAGAAAAATTGAACTTGATTAAGGAACAAAATTTTCACCTCAACCCCTTTCCTGGTCTTCTAGCACTTGGGTCAGCTACTCTGTGGGTCTGCTTTTTCCATTTCAAAGCCCATCAGTTTTCTAAAAAATTATAAATTGTCATTCATCATCATTCTTCAATTATGTAACACCTAGTTTGGACAAATTACAGTTGCAGTCTACCAGATGCTTTGTGCCTTCACTTGTCTCCCTATCCCCTTTAGATTCCATGGGCAATGATCTCAAAGATACATCGTACCACAGCCTGTTACCTTTGTCTCATGGCTTTGCTTCTGTCTACACTACCACTCCCTAGTTCTAGATCAGTCTAATTTTAGGTTAATTTATTCACTCAAGAAATATTTATTGAGTGCCTACAGATGTGCCAAGAATTGTTCTAGATACTGGGTAAACATATGTGTCTCTATATGTGGGTGTTGGCTGCTGCTTTATGGAGAACAATAGTTAGCCACCAGTCAGAACTGGTACCACTCTGTGGATTTCAGCCTTAACTTGGCAGTCCTCATGGGGAGCCACATCTTTTGAATTTCCAACAGCTGCTCTCCTCAATAAAAGAGCCCTGGTGGTGAAGTGGTTAAGCACTCAGCTGACAACCAAAAGGTTGGCAGTTCAAACTCACCAGCCACTTCATAGGAGAAAGATGTGAGAGTCTGCTTCTGTAAAGTATTACAGCCTTTTGAATCTTATAGGGCAGTTCTACCCCATCCTATAGGGTCAGTTATGAATTGACTCAATGGCAATGTTCTTTCGTAGTTAACCTCAAAAGGAAAGGAGACCCTCTCCATTCTCTCTGCTACTTATTATAAATTCCTATGGTTCTACAAACTGAAACCACACCATTGTTGTCAAGTTGATCTGACTCATAGTGATCCTATAGGATGGAGTGGAACTGTCCCATTGGGTTTCCAAGGCTGTGATTTTTGCAGAAGCAGACTGCTTCCTCTTTCTCCCACAGAGCAGCTGGTGGGTTGAAAATGCAGACTTTTTGGTTGGCACTTGAGAGCTTTGACCACTGCACCACCAGGGCTCCTTAAAACTATTTTTTTCTATATGTGACCTGTTTACACTTACAAATATTTGCAATTACAGTTGAGAGAAAAGTATTATCATCTTATTGGTTTATTTATATATATATATAGTGTGTGTGTGGATAAATTTATTTATTTATTTATTCGGAAGGAAGGTTGGGCATTCCTACTTCCATAGTGATACTGCCTCGGAAACCCAAGGAGGGGTCACTATGAGTCGGGGCCGACTTGATGGCAAACAACAACATATATATATATATATGG